GTCCTACAGATGGTACCATTCTTGCCCCCAAAGTGTGGAGGGGGGGTGCTTTTTGAGCCTTTCTTGAAACTAGGAAAATAGCAGAAAAGGGAGACTTGATGGAAACTTCTTAGCAGGCAGGGATCTTCCTTGCCTAATCCTATCATCGTCAGTACCCTCAGATCACACTGCAGATACTAAAAAATAGCAGCTTTGCAACCTTTCCTCGAATCAAGACGATAAGCAGAGCCTTCCCTGGGGGCAGCTGGCACGAGACTCCACCTTCATGTGAGAATGAGAATCACTCAGAAAACAGGTCAAAAGGAGAGGTGCCCTAAAGAGCAGGCTCTCCACAGATTTGGGGGTGTAGGGGGAGCTGTATAGAAGTTGCACTCCTCCAGGGAGATCCTTGTCCCATCTGTAAAAGAGCTCCGGGATCATTTCCAAAGCAATGGGGCAAGGGTAAGAAACAGCAAATTGCAGGAATGGAGCCTAGTGAGCACTTAGGTTATTTTTTGAAGCATCCAGGACGTGTCAATTCCCCAAGGTGAACTTTGGAATAAGAACAGGCCAGTGGATAGCTAATGTAAGGCATGCTAGCTGACGCAGAGGGGAGACGATGGGGGGTGGGTGCCAATTATTAGACCCGAAGGGAAGAGAGTACGGTTCACAAATGAAGGACCGTCAAAAGTGTCACTGACAACCGAAATCATTCCTTCAATCCACAGACACCTAACTGGGGTCTGCTCTGGACCAGACCTTGGGCTGCACATTTTCTGCATGCGAGCAGGTACCCAGGCAGCTCATTAGGCAAAGTGAAAAATAAGGAGGACCCTCCTTCTCCCTCTGACTGTGCCTCCCCACCCTTTGGAGAGAAGCCAGCACCCGGCACCCTCCCAGGCCTCATCCACTCCCGCGGAGACCAACGAGGCCCAACTTCACTTTAGAGACGAAGGAAGAATGATCGGGTCCCCCCACAAATGAGGAGCAGAGGCAGAACTGGATCCTTAGACCCAGCTCATTGGTGGTACCATATTACATGCATGGACCAACCCCAAACAGGAGACTGGAGCAGAGAATGCCGCCTGGTTCCTGGTGCCCCTCAAATTGTGTGCAATAAGACAGACGCCAAACAGCACCCAGTCATAAGTGGGGCTCCATCCCAGGCCAAAACCCATACCACCTTTCATCCATAAAATGGGCGTGATTCCTGGATCCCTCTATCCCTCTCCCTATCTGAATAGACAGTACGTGTTCAGAAACCTCCAAACACTTCTGGAGCCTGTGTACCAAGTACCGGGCCCTCAGGCATGAAGTTTTAAGTGCCTCGGGACTTCCCTTGTGGTCCAGTGGTTAAGACTCTGTGCTTCCACTGCAGGGGGCACGGGTTCGATCCCTGGCGGGGCAGCTAAGATCCCGCATGTCGCGCAGCATGGCCAAAATTAATTAATTAATTAATACCATGCTAGCGAGGCCAGGCTTTATACTGTAGGAATGGTATAGGGGGTGGGAAGCTGTGGAAAGACCCTAAAGGACTAACATAGATCAGATTTGCATCTTAGAAGGACTAGTCTAGAGCTACATATGAATTAGAGAGAGCAGGAAGCCTGCTACCAGGTCACTGTAATAGTTCAGGAGACAGAGGACAAGGGCCAAGCTGAGGTGTGGACAGGTGGCCATGGATTCCAGATGGTATTTTTATAATAAAAAATTCTCTTCTGTAGATGGATAACGATGATGATTGTACAATAATGTGAATATACTAATGTCACTGAACTGGACACTTAAAAAAGGGTGAAAATGGTAAATGTATATTTTACAATTTTAAAAAACATCTCTCCCCCTCCAAGTAACACTTTTCGTTTGTCAAAGGTACAAAAGGCATAAATGCAAGGACTCCCTCCCCTAGGTCTCAAATACTATAAAGAATGAAGATGAATAATATTTATTGAGGGCTTTTCTGCGTTCAGGTATTATACTAAGTACTATACCAAGTATAAACTCATTTAACTTTCCAAACAACTCTACAAGGTAGATACTGTTATTACACCCATTTTACAGATGAGAACACTAAACACAGAGAACTTAAGTAACTACCCCACAGCTCATACGTGGCAAAGCCAGGATTTGAACCTAGGTAATCTGGCTTCGGAGCCTGCATGCTTACCCACTACGCTAAATTGCCTCTGTCCAGTCAGATGCTAAATATCTAGATAAGAACCCAAAAAAATGTCTGCCGACCAGCTAGCCCCACTATCTGGTTATTTGGCTTTATAGAGAATAGAAATCCAGACAGCTGACAGAAGTTTTTTTTCCACTTTCATCCAAATGTTTGGCATCACATAATATGATATGTCCACGAGTCTGAGCCACTCAGGAATTAGAACTCGATTGCCAGTAGAAACACTTTCTTAATGCAAGGTTGTCATTTCATGAATTAACGTCCTACCCAAAAATGTTTGCCTAACTTCCTAGGGTCTTGCACTCTTTGAGGATCTGACAGCGTTTTTGCTCCACTACGGGTTCGAGTAGTAGCTAATAGACGTCCTGCCCATTTCTTTGTCCTCCATCCGGTATTAGCAGAAATCACACGGGATTTTTTTTTTTTTTTTTTTGCATCACAAATAACAAAAACCATGCATATTTTAACTTCATCTCTAGGATTAAAGTAAATACATAATTTTGGCAAATTACTCAGAATTACGGGCTAGCAGCATCTGGTTGGGATATTCTCAAGTAAATTATTGGCACAGTCTCTGCCACATTTTTAATTTTAACCAAAATGTTTTCAGAAACATGTGTTTTCTGTCCCGTTTGCATGTAATCAGTTTTAGAGGGCCTCGGAGTTTTAAACTGGGGTTTCAGAAATTAGCTCCAATACCTGGGCACTGCCCGCAGGCCCCAAAGAGTCCTCCTCCCTCCCAGCACCGCTCTGTCCCTGCCACCAGCTCTTCAGAGCGAGAGAGGCCCGCAGGTACTGTGTGTGCGCGTCCCTCGCCCTTCATTCTGCTCCCAAATTACATACCTCGCTTTTATGTCAAGTCCAATATAGCTTCCTTACCAGTTTTTTTTTTCCTCCTTATTCCACATCAAGAGTACCCAATTACTTTTATAAATACTTGTTTTAAAAATATCACAGTGGTTTCCTGCTGCTTCAAATTCTCAAGGGCTATGCAGGATTTTAGACTCTTATAAATCTTTCAAACAGTTCATATTTTATCAACAAAGTGTGCTTTTTTGTAAACCCTAAATATAACTCATCGAAGGCTTTTTTGTCCAATTATTTGACCTTTCCATAAAACGACAAAATTAAAGGAATTTGGGCCATTTCAAAAGTCATTTGCCATGCTGTCCTTGGGCTCATTAACCCTGCCTCGCCTACCAACAGGAGTGGTGTTTTTGGTTAAAAGAGAAAGCATGAGGGTTTCAAAACGTCCCAGCAGAGGTAAAGCAGGGTTATGTACTAGGTCTTTAAAAGAAAATTCCAGGAAGGCCTTGGCTTTTGTTAAAACTGAAAAGCTCCCTAGCTCAAGGCAGGCACTCCTTGAATGAATGACACATCACCAGGGACCCAGAAGGAGTCAGCCTGCATGGTAGAGACTGGGCTCCAGGTCCTGAGGATGCCCTGGTCCTGCAGTCTACTCAGCTACCCGAATGTATATGGGCACTTCTGTGGTTTTCCACTTGGAACTCCCTGGAGATACCCAAGGAATGGCCACTTAGGAGGCAAATCCAAGAATGATATTCAAGCATGAGCAAGATGCAGTTCTAAGCACTACAAAAATCAAGGTGTGTCCACCAACCAAATGACTGTCTGGAAGCACAGGAGTTTCAAGTCTTAATCTCCTCTGCTATGTCTGAATTTCTATCTTATGATCTGGAAACCATTGCTGGGCAGGGAGAGAATGAACAAGGGAAAGAAATGCAGTCTGGGTATATTTTAGAGCCGCAGGCCTCAAACACATAAAGAATAAACCAACTCTTTGAAGAATGACCTTGGGTTAGATACCCTTGATCCTCCCCACCGAAAATCCAGGAAAGTGTAATCAGCTTAGAGTCACCACCATCCCCAACTTACCACCAAATCCCCCCACATTCACTCATCCAGCAAATACTTGGTGACCACCTACTATGTGTCCAGTTCTTCTGGGAGCTGAGGAAGAACCAAAGAAGCACAAAATGGACCTAGAGATGATCATACTAAGTGAAGTAAGCCAGACAGAGAAAGATAAATATCATATGATATCGCTTATATGTGGAATCTAAAAAAAAAAAAAATGATGCAAATGAACTTATATACAAAACAGAAATAGACCCACAGAGAGAAAACAAACATGGTTACCAAAGGGGAAAGGGAACAGGGAGGGATAAACTAGGGGCTTGGAATTAACATATACACACTACTATATATATAAAATAGATAACTAACAAGGACCCACTGTAATAGCACAGGGAACTATACTCAATATTTTTAATAACCTATAAAGGAAAGGAATCTGAAAAAAAATAGATACATATGTATGTAAAACTAATTCACTTTGCTGTACACCTAAAACTAACACAACATTGTAAATCAACTATACTTCAATTAAAAACAACAAGAAGCACAAGAGGAATACCTCTCCTCAAGAATGGAATTGTGGGGTGTTCCCTGGTGGCCCAGTGGTTGGGATTCTGGGCTTTCATTGCCGTGGCCTGGGTTCAATCCCTGGTCGGGGAACTGAGATCCCACAAGTCACACGATGTGGCCAAAAAAAGAAAAAGGAAAAAAAAAAAGAATCTAGTAGTGAGTGTACAAACTTAAAGCTATGTAACCCCACCAGGCACTATGTGAGCAAAGTCAAGGAGGGATCCAGACAGTCAAGGCACTCGGAATAGGTTGAAAGGCACAGCCTCTAGAGGCTGGCTACTCAGAGAAGAGTTCCAGAAAGTGAGGTCTGGGCCAAGCCAGAGCGGGTATACCAGTTAGGGTTTGCAGAGAAACAAACCCTAACCTACAGGAACACATACATACATATCTATAGTCATGTATATGTATATACATGTGTATATGTATATTTACACACATACACACACACACACACACACACACACAGAATGATTTCTTGTAAGGAACCGGCTCACGTGATCATGGGGGCTGACAAGTCTGAATTGTTAGGACAGACCGTAGCCTGAAAACGCAGGAGGAGCTGATACCGCGGTGTGCAGGCAGAATTCCTTCTCGGGGACACCTCAGTTGACTGGATGGGGCCCATCCACATCATCTAGGGCAATCTTCTTTACTTAAGGTAAAAGGACTGTAGATGCTAACCACACTCACAAAATACCTTCGCGGCAACACTTAGCTTTGCGTTTGATTAACCAGCTGGGACTATGACCGAGACAAGCTGACACACAAAACTAACCTCCTAGGATGCCTCCAGAGAGGGAGCAGAAAGGGAACTGCTGCTTGGGATTCAGCTCAGGGACTCTGAAATCTGTGCTGAGAGGTTTGGGGCCCGTGTCCCGGCCCCTGGAGTCGTTAAGGGTTTCCCAGGATACGGGCAGCACTGCAATCTGGAGGGAGCCTGAGGATAGACCAGGAAGAACAGACCACTGAGAAATCTGCACGAGTCCACCCAAGGGAAGGACCAGATCCCAGGCTGGTGAGAGGAGAGGAGCTGAGGGGACGGAAGAACAGCTGCAAGAGGCAGGCTGCCCAGAGGGATGGGAGGGGCGGACACAATGCTGGGAGACTGAGCCGGAAAGGACTTCCCTGTCCCCGTGGTTAGCAGAGGGAATCAAGAGGAACAGCCAGCTTGGAGGGCAGGCTGGGGAGCTTGGGTCTTGATGTCTCGAGGCTACGCGCGCTGAGACCAGCGGGGACACACAGCCACACGCAGAGCAGGAGTCAAGGTCACTATAGAGAGAAACCAGCGGTGCTGATGCGTGGTAACTGATGACGTCTCCAAGGGAGAGACCTAAAGGAGAACAGGTGGGAGAGTTGAGCCTTGAAGGGTGGCTCCAAAGAGCCCAGAAACCAAGGGGACGGAACCAGAACGTCAGGCCGTCCACAGATGCCAGCCAGGCCACAGAGGGAGTGGAGAGCCTCAGTGAGGACCAGGGTGGAAGGAAAGGCCTTCAAAATGGCAGAAGCAACACAGTGACCAAGCAGCTAGGAGGGACCCCGGGAAGCAACACGGGCTGCCCTCAGGGCTTCTCCCACGTGCAAGGGAACCTGAGAGAAGAGTTTATGGCCAAGGGCACGGGCCATGTGGTTGAGGAGGGGTGTGAGGCAGAGAGGAGAATTTTTCCCTGGAGTCAGCCCTTCTGGAGCCCTGAGGGGGCAAGCAGAGGACCCCCAGGAGACGATGGGTGGATCTGTACTAGACTTCAGTGGAAGCCTACTTAACACCTGGACACCTAGTAGGATGGAGGTGGGGCGGGGCTACTGAAAGCGGAGGAGCAGGAAGAGGGATGAAGGCAGCAGTAAACTGGGAGAAAGGTGAGGCAGGTGATCATGGGGGGCAGGGCAGGAAGACTGGGGGGAACAGAGCCTTGTTACTTGACAGAATTAAGGAGGGTGGGGGAACAGACGCAAACTGGATGATACACACACAGCGGGATACAGGATACCCAGGCTCAAGGATGAAAGGTTAGTGTAGCAGCAGTATCAGGACGTGGGCATCAACCAACACTGCTTCAGACACCTGCCGAGCACAAAAGGGGTGGTGGAAAAAGAGGTACACCTGTACCTTGAAAAAATAAAAGACTACTTTAAAAAAGAGGGTGGTGGAGGCGGGAGCCCCAGAGGATGCCAGTAGCTCACACTTCTGCATGGTGCTTAAGGCCCAGCGGACACAACTCTAGGACCTCTATATACTAATGTACGTCAAGCCTCTTAATCATCACAACCCTAAGAGATGTGGTACAATAATTATCACCATTTTACAGAGAAATAGAGGAACAGAGAGGTTAAGAGCTTGCCCAAGGCCACACGGCTAGCAAGTGGCAGAACTGGCATTCAAACTAGACAGTCAACTTAGATGTGAGAGGTTAAACGACTTGTCTGAAATAAAGCAAAAAGATAAATTCAGAACTCAAACACAAGCATATACCTATGGTGGCTGGTTTACCCACGCAGAAGCACACCAGCCTGTGTCACCCTCTGAGTAACCTGATCTAGAGGCACAAGAAGAACACTCGCCAGGAGCTCGCAAGGGCCCCTCCAGTCCTCAGCCAGGCACACTGGTTCCCAACATCCTCGCAAAGACTTGTCCTAAACTACGAGGATGTTTGCACAGGAGCCGGAGGTCTGGGGTCCCGTAGGCAGGGGCTGCAGCTTCAGGCATCGGCAGCCTGGAAAAGCTAGGAGGTCACCTGCCGGGAGAGTCCCTCACCAGCCTCATGGTCAGATTCTGGAGTTGCCGGGTGCGCTGGAAGTAGCTCGGCCAAGGGGCCCTGAAGAGACGCTTCACACCAGGGTCCCTGCCAGCAATAGGAGCCTCTGTGTCTACAGTGAGCCAGAACACGGCAGACTTGGAATCTGGAGGTTTATTGATGATCTGCTGCGTCATCTGACCTCTTAACCTGCTGAAATCCAAACTGGTCATTAGGCCAAGTCTAAACATCCAGGACAGAGAGAACGAGGGAGAGAATCTTTACCCTAAGAACAACCCTATTGTTTTTACATTTGTACCTTGCCTTGTACTGTAAAACCCTTCATCCTGCAGAAGGGTTACCCATTGCAAGATAAGAACCAAAATGTTGCTTTTGTGCTTGTCTACCCAGCCAGCAGCTCAAGGCTCAAGAAACAAGTATGCACGGTGCTGTCTTCTTGTTCTCAGCCAAAACCACTTTCCTGGGGCAAAAGATTATGGTCAACCCTCTGCACCTCTCAGCCCCCTCCCCTCCATCTTCCAGGCCCTCATCCTGCTCTCTCTGCCTCCAAGCCAACTGTCCAGCCTTTGTTCTACAGCCCAGTTCCCCTTCCCATGCCACTAGGCCTCCCCTCCCCTCCCCCTCCCCCTCTTCTCCCTCTTCCCCCCCTCCCGCCTCCCCCCCCTCCCCCCCCTCCCCCCCCTCCCCCTCTTCTCCCTCCTCCCCCTCTTCCTCTTCCTCCCCCTCTTCCTCCCCCTCCCTCTCTTCCTCCCCCTTCCCCCCTCTTCCTCCTCATCCACCTCCTTCACCTCCTCCACCATAGCTTTTCTCAGGACTAGCAGCTGACAGGGAAAGGAGAAGAGTGAGCTCTATTCCGGCAGGAGGAGCCTGGAACAGGGCAGGAGGGAAGCAGCAGGGAGTCCCCAAAGATAAGAGAAAGGCATCAGAGCCTTCCTTGGGCCTTCTTGCTGGTAACCCAAGCTGCCTCTTCAGTGACGCCCACAGCAAGTGGCAGCCCCTGGCTGCCATGCCCACACATCACAGAATGGCAAGTTGCCCAAGATGCAGAAGTGTGTCCGGGGCCAGTGTGATGTGTGTGTTACTGGACCTCTCAAGGTGATTCACAGGGCAACGGACACGTGCTTTCTATTTAAGAGACGTGTATCTATTTTTACAATCACCTTCTGTTTACAGGAAGGTAAATACTCGTTTTCATGCACGGTCATGGAAGAAAGTTTCCTGTTAAAATAAATTTTCTAAGTGAAAACTGTGCGCCGCTTTAAAGAAAAGCAGAAAGTAAGTAGTAATTGCATGGGTAGAATGCAAATATGGCAAAAGCCGCAAAGGCGATAAGTAAATGACTGATGATTGGTGATTCTGACATTTACTGCATAGATATGGACCCATCCCATAGACCCACTTTGGTCCTCGGTTAATTGAGAATAGGTCAGACTCACAAACCATTTTCTTTCTTTTTTTTTTCTTTTAATATTTATTTATTCATTATTTATTTTTGGCTGTGTCGAGTCTTCATTGCAGCACGTGGGCTCAGTAGTTGTGGTGCGCGGGCTCAGTAGTTGTGGCGTGTGGACTCAGTAGTTGTGGCGTGCGGGCTTAGTAGTTGTGGTGCACAGGCTCAGTAGTTGTGGTGCACAGGCTCAGTAGTTATGGCTCACGGACTCAGTAGTTGTGGCGTGTGGACTCAGTAGCTGTGGCGTGTGGGCTCAGTAGTTGTGGTGCACGGGCTCAGTAGTTGTGGTGTGTGGGCTTAGTTGCCCCACGGCATGTGGGATCTTAGTTCCCCAACCAGGGATGGAACCCGCATCCCCTGCATTGGAAGGCGGATTCTTAACCACTGAACCACCAGGGAAGTCCCCTCACAAACCATTTTCAATTCAGTGGACAAATATTTTCCAAGAGCCTTTGCCGTGTCCAGGACCGTACGAGTCACACAGAAAAGGGAACCTCCCACAGCCACCCCTGACTTCGGGTAGCTTTCAGTTAACTCGTTGGGAAGAACAGGTCTACACTCGAGGAAACTGCTAGAGAACGGAACAGAAGTGTGTAAGAGAGGGAGGCAGACTTGAGCAGTGCGGGGGGAACAAGAAAAGGGAGCCCAGGATTCACTGGGGTGACTCCAAGGTGAGGCTCAGGATGGGTCATGGAGATCTCAATCCGTTCTGAGGAGCCTGGAATGTTCCCTCTGCTCCAACCTCATCACCTGGATCCCAAGAGTCACTCCAGACCCTGGTGACCTTGTGGCAGTGAAAGTCTTCCCCAGAGGACCTCACTTCTAAAGGTGTGAGGAAAGGGCGGACACCAGCAAGTCACGTCCTGGGCGGCTCTATAATCCTGACAGCCACCTGCGGAGTCCACACAGCAAGGCTCCTCTGTGGTGGCACGGTGGACCTCGGCACCCTCTAGCCAGGCTCCGCCTACTCTCTGCTTTCCTGTGTGGTTCCCTTGGCTCTCAAACTCCTGATGCTGTCTTCTCTGTGGTGCCTGGGGAGGACCATCTCCCTTCCCAGTCTGAAGCTGACCTAGGAACCCAGAGAGCTGGGTGTAGCTGAGTGGGGAGAGAGGCAGACTCACAACTGCTGCGTTTCCCTCCAACTCTTGAGAGTTGACACCTTTGGGTACCTCTTGGTGCCCTGATTCCAGTGAGGCTCCATCTTAGGGAACTGCTCCCCCAGCCATATCCACAGAGTCCCAGGGTGGGTACCCGTCCATGAGATCACATCCCACGGCCCTACCCCCTTGACCACGAAGCATCAGAGCAGAGATCTGAGCCAATCAGATTCTCCCCCTGGAATTAGGAACTTTTTGGAATTTGGAATTACAACAGAGAGATTCCAGCTCACTCTGGGCTGATCTCTGGATGGCAGAGATGCAAAACTCTACAGTTAGGTGAGGCCATCTTTGGCCACGTGGCGCAGAAATGCAGAGAAAGTGGATCCGCAGAGAGAAGCAGAGATGTAAGGCAAAAAGAGATAAGCCCTAACAAGCCACGCTCTCCCTCAGCCTTTGCCCAAGTGTTTTTGCTGCCACAATGCCCTCCTCTCCCTCCCTCTCTAAGATAACTGCACAGGATTCAAGGGTTCCATAATGCTTAACAGTGAAATTCATGATATGGACAGAATGTTTGTATCTCCCAAAATTCATATGTGGAAACCCTAACCCCTGGTGGAAAGGTTATTTGGAGGTGAGACCTTTGGGAGATAATTAGCATAGATGAGGTCATGAGGGTGAAGCATCCCATGATGGGATTAACGCCCTTAAAAGAAAAGACCACAGAGCCTACCCTCTTTCTTTCTCTCTCCCCACCATGTGAAAACACAGCAAGGAGATGGCCATCTACAAGCCAGGAAGAGGGCCCTCAGCAGAACCCAGCCAGGCTGGCACCCTGATCTCAGACTTCCCAGCCTCCAGATCTGGAAGAGAATAAATATCTGTTGTTTAAGCCGCCCAGTCTATGGTATTTTGTTTACAGCAGGCCTTTGCCCTGGCCGTTGGCCTTAAATTTCTCATCTACTGCCACTTTCCCCATCACTCACTAGACCTCGGCCACACTAACCACCTTTCAGTTCTTCGAACAAGTCAACCTTAGTTCCAACCTCAGGGCCTTGGTTCTTACTCTGCTTCTGGCTGGGAGTAGCCTCCCTCTGTCTTCATACGGTGGGCTTTTTCATGTCATTCAGATTTTTATAGAAATAATCCTTATTCAGAGAAGCCTTCTCAGACCACGCTCATTGACACAGGCCCTTAGACACTCTATTTTCTCATTACTTTATGTGCAGCATGAGACGAGCTACCTTGCCCATCTTATTCACCACCATATCCCACAAAGCCCAGCCCAGCACCCAGCACAGCAAAGGTGTCCATCGGATATTTGTTGAATAAATGACTGAGACACAAAGAGTCTGGCCTCCACGAGTCCAGACAGAGAGCCAGACTGTGGGTGGAAAAAGGGAAAGGGTGACACTGGCAGAGGGTACCACCATTAGCCTGGTCTGCGTTCAAAAGTTTCCCAGTCAGCAAACCAGCTCACGCAAGCCCTCCTAAGGAAACACAGTGCAGAACTCGGGAAATGTAGCCCAGGGCTGGTCAAAAGACAGTCATACTCTAAACTATGCACGACCAGATTTTGTGGACCACGTGTTTTATCTTTGACCGTACTTATGGAAAGATTATTCAAGAACATCGTGAACACACAAAAATAAATCTTTAAAAATATCATTTTGATGACACACACATACGAATGAAAGATTTTTCTCTTTTTACTATAGCATTCCATTAAGGCATTTTGAAAAAGCAAATGTGCTAAGTAACGGCACACGATAACCTGCAAATAAAAATGGACCCAGTTGCTACCCACACAGCTGACCCCAGATGAAACCCACCCCAGTCTCACCATCAACCAAGGCAGAAGGAGGGGGCAGCTCGCCAACTCTGTTTCCTGTCCTCTGAGGACCTGATAGCGTCCAAAGCAACAGAAGGTCACGGTTCTTACTCACACTGGGATGTGGGTCAGAGAGTGGCCACAGCCACCACTGCCTGCTTTGATCACTGGGGCAAACAATGGCTGTTCAGTGAGTGCCAGGTACCAAAAGCCAGGCATGTGACGCGCTATCTCACGTAATCCTACAACGACCCTGTGAAGCGCACGTTATTATCCTTGAACTTATGTTGAGAAGCCTGAGGCTGCTCGACATAAATTCAAGCCTCAACAGAGAGGCTAAGTAACTTGGCTGAGGTCACACAGCTAACTGGCATCAAGGCTGAGATTTGAAGGCCACACTGCCTAGATCCCTACCTACCCAAGAGCTGTCCCTCCCCTCCACACTCCATAGATTAGCTCTCCTTACCCTTCTTCATCTCCACCATCAGTAACTGACGTCAAGGGCCCAACACCTTCCTCTTTTCTGTCCCTCCTAAACACCCAGCACCGGCCAGCCTGCAGTGACCTTCACGAGGTTGATGATGATGGACCCAGGCTTCTTGCAGAGCATCCCCTTCTGGTCCGCCTCTCCCTCTCTCTCCTTCTGCCTTATCCCCCGAGGGCTCTTTTCTCATCAATTATCAGCCCTCTTGCTTTAGTTTCGTATGCCTAATTTATCTTGTTACCCACTTCTTTTTGTTTGTTACCTAGCCAAAAAACAAGAAGAGTGGGCTTCCCTGGGGCGCAGTGGTTAAGAATCCGCCTGCCAATGCAG